GCCTGGCCAGCGTGGCTCAGTGGTTGAGCGTCGACCTATAAACCTAGGAGGTCAGGGTTTGATTCTCCATCGGGGCATATGTCTGGGTTGTGGGCTCGATCCCCAGTGTTGGGTGTGCAGGAGGCAGCCAATCAATGATTCTCTCTCATCATTGATGTTTCTATCTATCTCTCTCCCTCTCCCTTCCTCTCTGAAATCAATAAAAAAAATATATATTTAAAAAAAAAAACAATACCAGAAAGTTAACAAAATCCAGTAATTTGACTAAAAGAGACAGTCAGGAATAGGATTGTTAAGTAGGCCAAAAATAAATCAGACTTATGGGTAAATTAGAATTTTATTAAAATTTTAAAGTAATCTTCTTAGTCATGATCCTCTGTTTTGGGCTATTGAGTCTCTCAACCATCACTCTTGCCAAATTGATATATTTGTTTTCACACTTATTGAATATCCACAGTGTGCCTGTTGTTGTACAAAGTGAACTATATTTGTATCATTACTGTTAGGTTGGTAAATGCTAAAAATGTCATATCATTATCACTGGCTGCTGAAAAATTTTATGAGTCATCAGATTTTTTGGCAGTCAGCTGAGAGAAGGATTTACACCCAGTATGGCTCGGCAAGGGATCTCTCCACTCTTCTTTCACGAAGGTTAATTAGCATGGCATTGGCATGTATGGTTAGGTAACCAGGAAATGTAGAGGAGGGCAGCTGCAACCTGTAATTAATCCCACCCCTTCCCCTCTTTGAGAGAGCTCCTTGATACATACAGAATTTAACCTGAGAAATATATATATTCAAATTTTAGCCAGATGAGAAATTTAGTGAGTGAATCCTGGCCTCATTCTACTTAGCATAAGAAACTGCACTATCCTTTCAAGCAAGGTGAGCTATTCCAGGCCCTGAGATCTGCAACTGCAGAAGACTTGAGCCTGTAATGGGATAGAATAATTGGAATAGGATAATGGGAATAGGATAATGGGAAAAGATTCAGGCTCCTGGTTTTCTTTATTTTGCCTCTGAAAACACGTCTGGTTCTTAAGGTAACTTTTTAAGTAACTATGAAGTACAATAAAAATAGTCAAAAGCTTTATCTCTATCCTAAATTATATAGAATTTGTAACTTAAGCATTGTATAAGTGCAGGAGCATATCACACTGTTTTTAATATGTTTTATAATTTTTCTAAGTGTTTTGTAAGAGATGTCACTTATAAAGATGGGAATCAGCCCTTGCCTCACCCTACTCCCTACTTCATTATTCCTTAAAGATGTACAGAACAATGTATTTCCTCCTTGATTATCTTTCATTTCAGGTCTACTGGTTCAAAGATGGGAAGCAGATTTCAAAGAGAAACGAGCACTGCAAAATGAAGCGAGAAGGAGACGGGACATGTTCTCTGCACATCGAGTCCACCACCAGTGATGACGACGGCAACTACACCATCATGGCTGCCAACCCCCAGGTGGAGATGCAGAGCTGTGCTGCATGCCGAGGAAGGCGCAGTTGAAGTCATAAATGATAACTTGAGAAGTGCGAGTTACTAAGGATTGCTGAGGAAAATGAATGAGAAGCATTGTGATTGTGTGTAACTAGAGCACAGTATCACAACTTAGAAGACCAGTTAGCCACTGATGGGTCCCTCGACCCCTCAGCCTTTGTCAAAGGGCATTAGTGATATCTATTCACTATGAACACATCCCAGACCTATTGGGCTTACTCTTGTGTATATCAACTCATTGAATCTCTTGAAGAGTCAAAATAATCTATCAAAGAATTTGTTGTTTTTGTTATTTAGAGAAAAAGCAAATTACTTCACAAAGTCTTGTGAATATCTCTCAAACTCATAATCTCCTTTTTTGGGGGGTAAAAGTTAGAAGGCCATAATATTTTGCTTTTCTTTTCTGAATAAGATTAACTTAAACTTTTCCTAAAAGATATGGCTGAATAAATATGTTCAACTACCATTAGGATAGGAATTTCTACTCTCACCCACTCTTTATATTAAAATATTAGTTTTGAAGGTAATCTTTAATGAGGGAAGTATAAGAACAGTTGGCCATGATCTCTGTGTGTGGCTGCAGATAATGTTAAATGCACAAGAATTCATTTTTTTTTATTTGTGCTCTGTTTGTTTCTCAACTTAAAAATGGAAGTCATCAAAATGTTCTTAAAAATCCCTCCCCCTGGAATATGAACAATGATTTAAGGAGTCATATTATATTTTTATCCCCCCAAAGAAAACATAATAGTTAGGTTCATAATGTTCATGTCCAGAAAAGTTTATATAGTTTGAAAAAAAAATGTAGAATCCTTATTTTAACCTTGTTCATTTTCTTAGGGGAGAATCAGCTGCTCTGGCCACTTAATGGTACAAAGTTTGCCTATTCGCAGTCGACTAACATCTACTGGTCAGTCTCACAGGTAAAGACAATATGAATCTTCCTTCTCTAGCCCCTCCCAAGCAGCCACCGTTACTTAATGTGTAATCCTCCACCTGTAGCATCAGTGTCACCTGGGAGCTTGTTGCAAATGCAGAATCCCACACCCCACCCCAGAATTACATTTTAATACTATCCCCAGGTGACTCATAAGCACACTAAATTTGAGAAGTACTGGTCTACAGCACACTTTTGATACTTTGATATTTGTAACCATCAGTGGCACCTGTGTACATATAAATCAGACTCTTTAGATTAAATTACCATTTTTCTTTAATAAAGTAAAAACTGTTAATGATTATATACATATAGATTGAATATTGTTGTTGTTGTCTCCAATATACCAATTTTCTCCAATAAACCACTTGGCTTTCTTCTTCTCTGATTTTACTAACCACTAAGAGGAAGAAGCATGGCTTTTCCTTGAGTCTTACAGAGACCATAAAATCTTAGCAAAGCATTCCATAGTTACTGACATGGATGAATTAAATGTGACTTACCAAAGAAACAAAAACAGTGACTCATGTTTCAAATACAGTATTTCACCACCATTGTGCTATTCCTCCCCTCCTCCTCTTCCTCCTCCTCCTCCTCCTCCTCCTCCTTCTCCTTCTTCTTCTTCTTCTTCTTCTTCTTCTTCTTTTTCAAGAACAGCTGTTACTGTTGGTCAGTCTGAACCAGTATATTCATGATAATCTTTAATGGTCTGCCATAATTTATAGGCAGGTCAAATTTTATTACTCAGAGACACAGGGATTGCAGCTGCCTTGTTCTGGGCAATAAACAGGACTTCTCTTTTGGATCTCATCTGAGGTTCAACTTGAATACTGATATATTTGTTTATTTTGAGACTTTTGAACAACTGGTCAAACCCAAGAAGAGCTGAGCCACTTAACCCAGAATGACTTCAGAGAGAAAGAAGCTAAAGCCTGTTTATTTGATTACAGATCTTACAAGATAATCCTACAGTGTATGAGATACTTACCACGTTGTTTTTTTACATGAGGGTCACACCACTATTTATATTTATTATTTGTTTATGGTCCAGCAACACCCTTTCCCTCCCTTACCGCCCTGCAAAAAAAAAAAAAAAGTGTTCTCCAGGTCCTATAGTCATGCCTGCATGCCTACTGTCATCAATTTGTTAACTGGTTTCTGTATTTAATGCCTGAATACCTTTGTTGTTACAGAGGAAGGTCCCGAGTGCAAGAAAGAGACAAGGAGCCCCTACAGGAACGCTTTTTCCGACCACATTTCCTGCAGGCTCCTGGGGATATGGTAGCTCATGAGGGGCGCCTCTGTCGGCTCGACTGTAAGGTAGACCCTAGCACCCATCCTTGGTTCCGGATCGGTTCACATTTTGCAATTGTTTGTTTGTTTGCACTTATTTTTGTTTGTATTTATTTTGTGTGGTGTTTTTTGTTTGTTGGTTGGTTTTTTTCAAGGAAGAGGGGACTGGGGAAGCGAGAGAGATCACTTCCCCCCACCCACCCACAATGCTCAGTGTTTAATACCAGACAAAAGTATTTCATGAAATTTTTAAATTGTTATATCTTTTTTTTTAAGCTTCACCTGAGGATATTTTTCCATTGATTTTTAAAGAGAGTGGGAGAAAGAGGGAAAGACAGAGAGAAATATCAATGTGAGAGAAACACATCAGTTGGTTGCTTCCTACATGAGCCCCAAACAGGGTCTGGGCTGAGAAACCTGCAACCCAGGTAATGTCATTGACTGGAATCGAACCGGGACCCTTCAGTTCGTAGGCTGACGCTCTATCCACTGAGCCAAACTGGCTAGGGCTTAAATTGTTATATCTTCATAATGGTATCATATCGAGTTAATGCTGTGTTTGTAAAAGACAACCAAAGAGGTGTCATAATTCCATTTTCCTTGTGGTGCCTGGAAAGTCTTTATTACTATGAAGCCAAAAGTGTGACTTTTCCATCCTTGGAGCAAATTGCTGTGAGATAGAGCCTTTTAAAAATTATAAGCATGGCCCGACCAGCATGGCTCAGTGGTTGAATGTCGACCTATAAACCAAGAGGTCACAGTTTGATTCTCGGTCAGGTCACATGCCCGGGTTGCAGGCTCGATCCCCAGTGTGGGGCATACAGGAGGCAGCCAATCAATGATTCTCTCTCCCCATTGATGTTTCCCTCCTCCTCCTCCTCCTCCTTTCCTCTCTGAAATCAATAAAAATATATTTAAAAAATAAAAATTATAATCATGAAAAGATGGCTCCAAAGCAATTATGAAAACAGATGCTAGTTTCTCTTGCTAGTCAACATTCATCACCTGTAGCTATTCCACATTCTAATTCTGTGATCAGAGACAAGGTTCAGTTAGGCAGCCTGGATATCTCTCAGTATGAAGAGAAACTTAATCACCCCGTCTGCCTCTACAAAGATGCTGAGTACGATGGAAAATTAATATGCAAATTAGTAAAGGCTTGTGGGTAAGCATTCATAAAGTCCATTTCTCTTGGTGATTCTTGCTTTCCCAATGAAGGCCTAAAGAATATTTGAGATTGGCTATTACTTCTTTCACCCTAAACCCGAACAGATACCCATGCCTGGGTCCTATCCCCAGAGAGTCTGATTTAACATTACTGTGTTAAATAGTGGGCATCAGCATTTTCAAATGCTCCCCACGTGATTATAATACACAGTAAGGTTTGGGAACACTGGTTTAATGTCTGCCTTTCACTTGGCTCCTCTCACTTAGTAGGTATGTGAGCAAGGTGTCATCTCTGAAACTGACACTGCAGGCCTGCTTTATCTATTTAGCTTCTTCATTCTTATTTATGCTATAACTAGAGGCCCGGTGCACGGATTCATGCACTGGTGAGATCCCTTGGCCTGGCCTGCAGGGATCAGGCTGAAACTGGCAGTCGGACATCCCCCAAGGGATCCCGGAGTGCGAGAGGACACTCTGCAAAGTCGCTGTCATTTGGTAGCTCCTACGTTGAGCGTCTGCCCCCTGGTGGTCATTGTGCATCATAGCTATCAGTGGGTCTGCTGGTCGGCCAGTCACTTAGGCTTTTATATATAGAGATTATGACCTGAAATACTATACAACTTAAATTCATGTGGCCATCCATCCAGATCCCAATGTCTCTTCACTACTCCATGTTTTCTCTCACTATTTGGTGCCAGATAAGGATGAAGAATTCAGCCAAATCAATCTGCCTGTCCCCAGTCTCTCATTTGCCTCAGCTGTCCTGTTTTTTTCAGGTGAGTGGCTTACCACCCCCAGATCTGACGTGGCTGCTCAATGGCCAACCTGTGCTACCAGATGCCTCCCACAAGATGCTGGTCAGGGAGACTGGAGTCCACTCTCTGCTCATTGACCCTCTCACTCAACGTGATGCGGGGACCTACACGTGTGTTGCTACCAACAAAACCGGACAGAATTCCTTCAGTCTGGAGCTCACTGTAGTAGGTAAGGTTTGCTGCTGGGACCCTTAAACGTGACTCCTTCCAACGTCATTGCCCAAATATACAGAGCCTCTGACAGAATTCTTTAGTCCTTTTCCCCACCAAGTCTAATCTCAGTTTCCCCTTCACTGTAATAGGGGCCATATTTTGTACATTGTTTTCAAAGACATGTCAGTAAGCTAAAAATATAATAGGGTGCGGTGTGCCTATTATGCATGCAATAAACGAGAGTCATTTTAATAGTTAATTAATCAATTAATTAATTATCCAATTAATTAACTGAGCATTACTAAATTCAAGTCACTTATCCTACAGTTCATCACTCCCGGAACACAAAAGGCTCTTCCCCACCCCACTCTCCAAGCTTTCATACCTTTACCTGTCCTTCTCTTCCTAGCAACCTCTTACTCATTCCCTAAGGCAGCGATTCTCAACCTGTGGGTCGCGACCCCTTTGGCGGTCAAACGACCCTTTCACAGGGGTCGCCTAAGACCATCCTGCATATCAGATATTTACATTATGATTCATAAAGTAGCAACATTACAGTTATGAAGTAGCAACGAAAATAATGTTATGGTTGGGTCACAACATGAGGAACTGTATTTAAAGGGCCAGAAGGTTGAGAACCACTGCCCTAAGGCTTAATTAAAATGTCACTCCCAAGGCACAGAGGCCCCACTAGGCACATTCTCCTCTGTTTCCATAGTACTTAGGCAAGGAGACACTCTCAGAGCACTTACTCTGTAGCAGTTTACTCCTATGCCCCCTGAAGAGACTATGAGCTCCTAAGGTCAGAGATTCTGATCTGTTCTTCTGTGGATCTCGGGTGTCTGACTCTGCCTGCAACATGGAAGGTGCCCAACAAATGTTGAGTCCATAACTAGGCAATGAACTTTTGCCTTATAAGATGATGTGAACAAAATGAATGCCTGCAAAAAAGGACAAGTCATCGTCACCTACGTGGTACCAGCCCTTCGGGGTAGTAGTCCAGCCAGAATTAAATTTCAGAACGTACAAGTTTGAGTGCTGGGCTTTCTCCCAGGTGTGGCCCCTATAGGAAATCGGGGTGTCTTCAGCATGCTAATCCTCTCTCCAAGCCAGTGCTAGTTCCCCCACATATCTTTTCCTTTCTCTCACTCGTGATTTCTTCTTACCGACAGAGTAGAACAAGTTTATTCTGCAATGATATATTGATTGCCAACTTTTACTTTTCCCCACTCTTTTGCTTAAATAGTGACTCTGGAACCCCAAGATCTGTGATATATTTGTCTTAATTGATTCTGCCCCCCCCTCAAAAAAAACCTCCTTGGGAAGTATAATTTGTGTATTTTTTAAAAATAGTATATACTTCTTTCAACTTTTTTATAGCTATAAACTTCTTCCAAATAAAAAGTTCAGGAAAATTAATATATCTTTTACAAAACAAACTCCTATAAATAAGAAAAAGGATAAAAAAATAATTAAAGAGCAATACAAAGCCTCAAAAAAAGGGGGATATGTGTAGTACATAAAATATATTGTTTCTCAAATTTTACTGCTGAGCAAAAAAGGAAACTCCTTAAATTGCACACCTACCAGTTGCATCCTCTGTGTGCGATCCAGACCCTTGAGTGTTGCCTCTTATAGAATGTGCAGTGACAGTTCCTCATTTCTTTTTTAATCCTTTCTGGAGCTTTTGTCAAGGCAGTGACTCCCACTTGGAGGAGTGAGAAGTGGTCTGAAGAGGAGCTAAGAGGGTGGGGGATCCACTCTGCTAAATTCCAGAACTGTAATGAGTTTGAGAAATGAACCCCCAGGCACTTACTATTTAACCAAGAATGGTCCTTCTCTTGTTCAGCCAAAGAGGTGAAGAAAGCACCTGTGATCCTGGAGAAACTGCAGAACAGCGGGGTTCCCGAGGGCCACCTGGTGCGGCTGGAGTGCCGGGTGATAGGCATGCCGCCGCCCGTGTTCTACTGGAAGAAGGACAATGAGACCATTCCTTGCACCAGAGAGAGAATCAGGTATGGACCCCACATGCAAAGGGACACCCAAATCCGTCTGTAGCCTTTCGAATCTGGCTTCTTTTGCTGAGATTAATGCATTTGAGTTTTGTCCATGTTATTGTGCATATCAAGAATTTATTCCGCATTGTTGCTGGGGGGTAGTCTATTGTATGAACGTCCCACCATTTTAAACTGTGAAAACATGGGAGGGGGGAGGGAGTGGGAGGACGGGTGTAAAGGGGGGTAAACAGGAGACATCTGTAATACTATCAACAATAAAATATATACAGAAAAAAATGTATAAGGAGGAGCACTTGAGATCTTGCTTCCCATATGTCGTCAGTTTGGCTCAAATAAACTCCTATAAAAATGAAAAGCAGCCCTGGCTGGGCGGCTCAGTTGGTTAGAGTATCTTCCTATGCACTGAAAGGTTGCAGGTTCAATTCCCGGGCATGGTACATACCTAGGTTGCAGGTTTGGTGCACACATGGGAGGAAATGAATCGATGTCTCTCTCTTACATCAATATTTCTCTCTCCCTCTCCCCACCCTTCTTCTCTCTCTGAAATCAATAAAACATATTCTTAGGTGAAGATTTTAAAAATTACAAATGGCCTTAGCCAGTTTGGCTCAGTGGATAGGGCATCGGCCCAGGTTCTGAAGGGTCTTGGTTTGGTTCTGGTCAAGGGCAGGTACCTTGGTTGCAGGGTTGATCCCCAGCCCTGGTTGGGGTGCGTGTGAGAGCAACCAGTTTATGTGTCTCTCTCACATCGATGTTTCTCTCTCTGTCTCTCCCTCTCCCTTCCACTCTCAATTAACAACAAACACAAAAATTTTAAAAATTACAAACAAAAATGAACAAGGAATTTATGAAGACTAAGCATAGTTTCTGTCATGTGTCTTTAGTCATATACTAGTACCCAGAAAACCTCTGTGATGATAATAAGCTAAAATAAAATAAAGCAAAACAAAACATTAAGGCAGTTAAACAACTTCTCTATCCATCACCACATGGTTGTTTTTAAAGCAACTTGAAGGATCAAGTTTCTTACAGTGGGTGCCTTGCTTGATTTCCCCTAACCAACTTTATTTCTTTGCTATTTTGGTTTTATGCCACAAGGGGGCAAGCAAACAAAGGCAGCTAGTGTACAGAAATTCCTACTGAGAATTATTTCTTCACAGTAAAGGGAATTTGTGCCAGAGACTGTTGTAGCTGTCAGGTTTTAAAGAATTTGGGCATCCGAGAAGTCTATGTATATATAGGTCAGGATTTTTCTCTGGCAAAACTTAAGCAAGAACTGAGAATATTCTCCAGTTCACACTTCAGTCTAAATCAGTGGTTCCCAACCTTTTTTTGGCCATGCCCCACCTAAGCATCTCTAAAATCCTGATGTCCCCCTCCCCTGTGACATATAATTCTTATTATTCAAAAAGTGAACAGCTATTCATGTGGAGGAAGCCTAAAAGGCCATTACCTTGGTCTAACTAGCTTCTAAACATGGCATCCATGAAAGAGAAAGATAGAAGAACGAAAGAACAGTTGAAGTACTGAGGAAGAAAGCACTAAGAAATTGTTAAAAAAAAAAAGAAGAAGAATATGAAGTGATATGAAAAATAGCAAATAAAGTTTCAAAACAGATAATAGAAAACTGAAATGCACAAATATGTCACAATATATATTTATATACTCTGTATGAGGCCCCTAGAACCATAAGAAATGCAAAAATTCACTGTTAATAACTCATTCTCGAATTGCTCCCCTTAAAAATCAAATTGCCCCCCTCTGGGGTGTGTGCCCCACGTTGGGAGCCACTGGTCTAAATGAAGGCAACAGGTTCAACCCAACCTGAAATCCTGGTGGAATGATCCGGGATTGCAGTCTTCAGGCAAGGGGGAGAACTACGGATGTAGAGGAAACAGAAGGAAGAACATGCCGTTTGCTCCTGAACTGTATTGAGCTAAATGCTGCACATGCCCAGTTGGTTACATTAAGAAATACTCCCTCCACGCTAACAATTCCTCTGGGCTTGGGACCAAGCTTTCCCATCACTTCCTAACAAAGTTCTTATTGAAATGTCCATCCTGGTTTGGAACAGAGATTTTTCTGGACTTTGGCTGTGACAAGTGGGGCTGCCCTGGTGGGGAGTTGAGGCAATCGGGAGAACAAGACCGGGTCTCAGCCCTCATCACAGCCTCACTAGGTTAATTGTGGCTCTTTTGTGACTTCTTTCTACCTCACGTTCGCCTTTGGTGATTGCTTTAAGCCGAGTTCCCCTTTCCTCCACCTGGGAACACCGCACCACTGCATTTGTCCCCAGAGTTTCCCTGAGCCCAAACCTTGACAAGCCGTCTCTGCCCCCCGATACAATATGGATATATTCTTTCTTTTCTCCAGTATGCACCAGGACACGACGGGGTATGTCTGCCTCCTCATTCAGCCAGCCAAGAAATCAGACGCCGGATGGTACACACTATCAGCAAAGAACGAAGCCGGAATCGTGTCGTGCACTGCTAGGCTGGATATATATGGTAGGTGTACTGGCATCGGTTGAACATCTGTATGTAATAGCAACTTTTAAAATCTCCCCCGCCCCCGTCGGTGTAGCTCAGTGGTTAGAGTGTTGACCCATGCACTGAAGGGTCAAGGCTTCGATTCCTGGTCAAGGGCATGTACCTGGGTTACAGGTTCAATCCTGGCCCTGGTCAGGGTGTGTGTGGGAGGCAACCAATTGATGTGTCTCACATTGATGTTTCTCTCTCTTTATTTCCTGCCCTTCCTTCCTTCCACTCTGTCTATATGTCAATGGAAAAAATATCCTCGGGTGAGGATTAACCAAAAAAAAAAAAGTAATTGTCTAGAATCTGAGGTCCCTGCTATTTATTCATAGGTGTACACCAGATACCCCCCCCCTTTTTTTTTAGGGCAATACAGGAGGAGACTTGGCCTGCCATTTCCCTAGGTCTAATATTTAGAGGGAATATATAGCTTTCTGATTATTTTCCCTTATTCTTAGGCTCGAAAAGAAACTCAACTCTGAAAGAAGCTGACTCTACTGTACTTTCCCCAGGGAAAGTCAGTGGAGAGAGGACAGTGATATGTTTGTTAATCTAGGCTAAGTTCCTTAACTATTTCACAAGTTTCACCTGTCTGAAGGAACTAGGTCTCCAACTCAATACCAATAAACCCTGAAACTGATGACTCACCCCAACCCTGCCCTCAGTGGCAGAGTTCCCAGTTCAGTTTGTCCTGTCTCACCTCTTCCTTGTTCCTGTCCTGATTCTACAGCACCAATAGGAGGCGCTATGTCCTTACTTGGGACTTGTGGGTGGAGGAGGGGATGACGGACTTGAGCTGAAATCCATCTCCTATGTCCCTCACCCCACTTCCTGCCTGGCTGAGGAATGGGGAGGGTAGGCTCTTCTCTCTCTCGTGGGAAGGAGGGCTTCTAATAGCAGTTATAGGAGTCTGGGTACGATGTCAGAGAGAGCAGGGAGAGGCTAAGGGATGGCGGGCTGGGGGGAGGCTTGACTAGCTCTTTACTATGGCCTCCCAAGCGCTGGCTCTTCAGTGGAATCGCTGTAAGTTTTGTCCTGGGTTTTGTAGCTTCCGAAGTTTGATCTTATTCACTCAGAAGTATTTAAACTCTGAAAGACTGATTTAAAACAATGAAATGAACAAAGGACCAATTTACAAATGGGAATGCTGGATACCTTTCTAGAACCCAGAGCCTCATGATTCCTCACCTGATACTCCCCCCTTCTCCACATCAAAGCCTCTGGAAACCTAATCAGAAGACTGTGTGGCAGTTTCTGAATCAGAGACAACAGTAGAGACTGGGCAGTTTGGATGGATAGTTCATTCAAGCCATGGGCCAGTCTTCTTGCTATAACTCATGGCTGATTAGGGTGATAAGAGCATGGGGTGGGTCCTTCTCAGAGGTCGGGACCCATCTTTTGGCTTCCATTCCCACAGGTTTCTTGTCTCCACCTTCTGAGAGCCTACAACCCTCTCTACACTGTCCCTCGCAGGCCCCATTCTAGGTCGGTGAGAGGGGTAATTTTGATAAATCACCTAGGCGCCCACGCTTCCTTCTTATAGTCCCAATCTTACTGGATTAGAATCACAGGTTTTGCAATTAGGGGTTTAAGAGATCACTAGCCCAGTTTCCCTACTCCTGGCAGGGAAGGAGAGATTTCATTGTTTTCTTTTACAAATGAGTTATTGCAGACTCAGATATATGTTAAAGCTTTACCAAGACCCCACAGAAAGTGTTGGAGTGGCAACAGAATGCACACCTGCAGTGTACTCCTCTGATTGCAACATGTTATTCGGTTCATTTTCCAGCTCAGTGGCACCAGCAGATCCCACCGCCCATGTCCATCCGGCCCAGTGGCAGTCGCTATGGATCTCTCACCAGTAAAGGACTTGACATTTTCTCTGCCTTCTCCTCCATGGAAAGCACAATGGTGTATTCGTGCTCTTCTCGCAGTGTGGTGGAGAGTGATGAACTTTAAGGAGGTCTGGGTGCCTGCTGTGTAAGGGGGCAGACTGTGGAGAGGGAAGGAGGGTAAGCCAGAACCAGTGTTTCCCAAGCAACTGGATCTGAGTAAGTTCCCACACTGCTGGGCCTGTGGCCAGGAGTGCTTTGTGTAAATCCACTGCGGACTCTTGCAGTCTCCGCTGGGGAAGAGCTGTGGGGCTGTGCCTTTTAAAGATTCCAACAAAAATGTGAGAAGACAAGAACAGATGAACCAAAGATGTCATGCCGCTGCCACCCACCGCTTTGGGGGAAAGCTAGCATGCTCCCCTGCCCCATGCTGGGTTAGGGATGTTTAGACCCTACTAGGAGCAATTAGGGGCCATATATGCTTGGGCTGAGAAGAGTTAAACAGTAGTGACCTTAGGTATCACTAACTCACCAAATAATAAAAAGGAAAAAGATGGGAGGTCTCCATCACCTTTCATTGATTACATCCATAGCTAGCTTTAGTTTCGGTGGCTTCATTAAGTCAGCTTCTACTTAGCATTAGGAGATCGTGCCATGCAACTCACACATGTGGAGAAGCATTTTTGCTTATCCTGGGTGTACTGAGCCACAAAATAAGGTGCCAAAATGTGCTTGAGATACAAAATCACTGAGACACTCGATATTGCACAAGTGCACTTATTCTATAGCCAAAACAGGGCTCCACCCACCTGTCTGCACCATTTTCTTTTGGATACAATGGTGAGTGGAATTTATATATCCCTAGACTCTAGAACAGTGGTTCTCAACCTTCTGGCCCTTTAAATACAGTTCCTCATGTTGTGACCCAACCATAAAATTATTTTCATTGCTACTTCATAACTGTAATGTTGCTACTGTTAGGAATCGTAATGTAAATATCTGATTTGCAGGATGGTCTTAGGCAACCCCTGTGAAAGGGTTGTTCGACCGCTAAAGGGGTCGTGACCCACAGGTTGAGAACCGATGCTCTAGAACTATGGGTTTGCTAATAAACCAGCCAGTAAGAAATATTCTGTGGGGACACTTTTTAAACTACTAGCTTCAATGGCCACTTGCAAACTATGCAAGAGTCATCTTTGTCTGCCCATAAATATACTGACACTCCCACTCCTTCCCTCACCCCAAAAGTCTGGAAGTGTATGAGGGAGTGAGGAAGAAAGAGATGCAAACAAGGGGAGGAAGTAATGGGAGAGTGTTCTTCACTTGCCCCTGCAGAGCAGTGGGTGTGAAAGGAGAGGTCATTAATAGTTGTGAACCGCTAGGACATCATTAACCAAATTGCATTTTCTATATATAAAATATTACGCTACCTGGGAAAGTAGAAGGGGAGGGGAATTTGCCTCTGTATTCTAACCCACCAATTCAAACCCCGCCTTTCAACTTAAGGGAATTTTAGACAAGTTCACTGCAATATCCCCAGTGCCTAGAAGAGTGCTTAGCACAAGTAGACAGTCAACAGATATTTTTTGGGTGAATGAATCTTACATTGATAGAGAAATCTACCATTCACACACCAGCCCAAAAATTGCCCTGGGACTGCTCATCACAGCACAGTTTGCTCCCCAGCTATATGAACGGGAAGCATCTGTTACCAATCCCCTGTGCCCAAGTCTCTGGTGTTCCCTGAGCTGGGCACCCTCAGCAGGCAAATTACTCAAGTGAACAAATAGTAATTGCGTAAAAAGGCTTGACATTTTCTTCACTTCAAGGCAAGGATTTTCAGTATAAAAATAAATTCATTCACTCAAAAAGTCATTTGTGTATATATAAGATGCTATGCTGGAGACTGTGAGAGATACAGAGATATGAATAGGACACAGTTCCTGGCCTCAAGGAGCTTACAATCTAGTAGAGTAGGTAAGATATAAGGCATGTAGAGTGCTGCTTCTTGGGGCTATATATATATATATATTCTTTATTGAATAGAAGTTTCTCGTTCTCTTCATCCTATATTTTTCATGACTCTAAAATCAAGGTTTCGGTCAATTATTTAGCAGAATTATTAGATTTTGTTTCCTTTTTCATGTATTCAGGAACAATGCTAACAATATGGGCAACTGTAATAAAATAGCATGTATTTCATGTAGAATGCATCCTGCAGGACGTTCTATTTCCCTACTGGCTTCTATTATGAAATCTCCTATAACCAAAGAGAACTTTCTAACTCCAGGATTGCTCCTTCACAGTTGTACACCCAGCACCCCCCGACCATCACATTTCTGTAAACCCTAGACAATTCTCCCATGGGAGAAGATTTTTCATCTCTATTTGTCCTAGCTTTCTGAATACTTTTTTAAATCTGTTGCCTTTTGGTGTTTGAGAACTGGGACAAATTTATATTTGGCCATTAGATGGCACTGTCTAACCTAAAATATAAAAGCCCCCCCAAATTTGAAATTGAGCTATTGGATGATGGTAAAGCAGGGTTTCTCAAGGTCAGCATTATTGACATTTTGGACTGGATAATTCTTTGTTTGGGGGCATCAGTATTTTAAAAACTTCCCAGGTGATTCCAATAAAAAGCAAAGGTTCAGAAAAGTCACTTCAGAACTTATCCAGAAAGGTCCAAAGGGATGCAGATGGTATAAAGCCGTCTGGTTGGCATCGGTGAAGATCGTACTCCCCCTTGTTGCCCATGCAGTGCCTGCCTGGGAAGTAGAAATAAACATGCACTTTGGCCTCATTAGACCCTACTGTTTTGTCCAATGTTCATTAGACATGTGTCATTCATGAAACCCCAGAAGAACCTCAAAAACGTGCAAAAATGGACCAGCAAAAGTTGGTGCAATTCATCTAGCCCTTTGTTTCAAAAAGCTGTGCTGATCCCATAAGCACCTTTCTCTCCAAAGAACCGAAGGGCTTTTTATAACGCAGTCATAGAAATGGAGATTGGTTAGAAAGTGGAGAAAGAAAATGGACCATTAAAACCACACCGTCTTTTTGAAACATAGTGCCCTTCACCAAAGTGAGGTTTTAATTAGAATTGCCAAATAGTGGAACTGGTTTCAGTGCATTCTTCTCTTTTTATTCCTTTCTTAACTTTTGTAGGCAGCCAATGAGAAATTAAATGGTCAAGAGACCAGACGTGGTAGCGCTGTCGCTCTGAGTCACACAGGCCACGGAGAGTAACTCCCAGAGGAATCACAAGCTGACTTTGTAAGGATGGGTTAACCTGGAAAATCCTCAAATGAAACATGGGCTGCCTTCTAAATGTTCACTTGTGAGTTGGTTGTTTAAAACTCAGAACAAATTTTCTTACACACATATCACCCAATACTATATTCCCAAGTAAACCCAATAACTCCCATTTAACTCATGACTGAGTTACAAAATCTACTACGCCTGATTGGGTGATGATCCAACAATAGGGATCCAGGTAACACAGCCAATAAGAGGAGAAGAAAGACGTCCTCCTCCCTTTTTTGTGTCTATGATGTGTCAAAGCTAAAGAATGTCTATGGTCCTATCTGTATTTATCCCCATCCTGTGTTTTTCTCCTCAGATGCCCCATATCCCATGTTCTATAACCCCCTTCTCTAACCCTTCCCATCTCACCCCTTCGCTGTCAGCATGTCAGCATGCTTCATGATCCAAAATGACCTAACTCCAGTTCCACACATCTTGGCTTGATGTTTAGAGAGAGCAGTCCAATTGAACAAATTCTGAATGCCTGAGAGTTCTTTAACTGCTCAAAGGTGCTGCATTTCTAAAAGCAGTTGCTTTCTTACTCCCATCAGCAACTAATTGATAGAATTGCTGACAAAGTACAAAAAACAAAACAAAAAACAGGCTGTGAGGGGAGGTTCTAGAAAACTGACTGGGTCAGGCACCCATATTGTCCTTGTTGATCACAGCTTCCTCCGGACCTCCTCCTACCCACACTCTCAAAGTACCTTCCAAGCTGAGATCATGTATTGAGGAACAATGCTGAGATCCGATGCTCTAGAACTATGGGTTTGCTAATAGCAAACTGTGCCAAAATGTTGGAGTGGCAACAGAATGCACACCTGCAGTGTACTCCTCTGATTGCAACATGTTATTCGGTTCATGTTGTGAAGCCTGAGTCGGTTTGTATGTGGACTATAAGTTGGTCGTTAACTTAAAGACAAAGTTACTTATAATGACTTTTATTCACGGTCCCTTAGAGGGTCCTTGGTTAACCTGGCCTCAAAGTATTTCTGATGATGGTTGAGTTGAAAATCATTGTGCCTTACCAGTAAGATGTACAGTTACTTAGATTGCAGTAGAGTTTGTTGAAGTCTTTTACACCACTAATTGTTTTTTCTTCAGTGGATCAATATTTCAGAAAGTTAATTACTAAAGCTTTGCTTGAAGAATGCCAAGCAGCTTCTAAACTTTGACAATGCAGTGGTCATCAACATGCTAAAAGAAAGTTGCTAATACTATGTTTTAAAAAAATCTGTGCGGTGCAAAAATGTGCATATTTGTTTAAAAATATGTTTGCCTCTTATTCTGTCTAATTATATATTAGTTAGAATACTTGGTATAATAGAACCATAACCACACTGCCTTTTGTTAATATGTAAACAATGGCCACGTCAAACTCCAAAGAGCAATGATAGCCTTGAAATTGCAAGAAGTAGAGAAAGAATACACTTTTCAATCCTCTGAGAATTGTGCCATAAAGGTAAGCACAAAGGAAATGTCGTCTGTACTATAGAGGCGCATAAACACTAAAAAAAATAATTTGCCAGAAGATTTAACATATAAGTGAATAGAAAATGTTTCCCTAATAATAAAAATTAAAATATTTTAACATTACTTGAAAATATTTTAAGGCTGAATTGAAATAAATGTACATGTTTCTTTAAAATGCAGGAGACAGTTATATTGTTCAAGTCTAAAAATTACTTTTTGATTATAATAGATTTTTTACTGTATAAAAATATTTGAGACTTTAAAAAGGATTTTAAAAAATTATCTTTAAAATTGTATAAATTACTACATAAATTATAAACTACTTAAATATCTCTAGAGCAACAGAAAGATAACTGGGTTTTGGTCTTCCTAAAATATCCAGTAGATTCAATAGACTTCTCAGTGAATGTCCTTTAGCAATCTAAGATTAAAATTTATTCTGCTTCCTAACTGAAAACAGAGACACTTTAAAAAGTGAGACTTTTGAGACCAGTTTACATTGGAAATTAATGGAGACACAAATACAGTTTTGTCACAATACGAGGTGCTCTAATAACCACAAGAAACATGAATTATTTTTATATGGCAAAAGGGAATTGCTCGATGATCCAAAATTCCAAGGGATCTGATATTTCTTCACAGATTCAGTGAGTTATCTGCAAACTAGAGGCAGGTTCTTGTCATTGTCCCACAGTTAGTGGTTTAAGAATCCAGAGATCTATATACTAGTATTGGCTCTAGAAGTCATTACCATAGTCAGTTACACAAAAGATTACTAAATTTGTATGTGTGCACAGTATAAATGGTTTTACTCTGTATTTTAAGGAGAGTTAAAACCCTGCAATTCAAATGACATAATTTGAATGCAACTATATTTTTAATGCACATTGATAAATTAAATATTATTTTTTCAGTATTTTGATTTCAGAGATACCTTATCTTCTTTTCTGATTAATTTTCACTTGCTTTTTTCAATCCTTAGCCCTAAGTTTCTTGGTAGACCCTTCTCTCTTCATTACCTCCCTGTCAAGATAAAAATCTGTAAAATATTTAATAGCATTCGGATTTTAATAATTCCTGTGAATTTCAGACATGTTTTCCAATTTCCTATAACTCTAGGGTCTCTGTTTCTTTATCT